GGGGGGGGGGGGGGGGTGTTAAGGGAACTCATGCTCTCACTGATATAACTGACTACTGTACCAATGTAGTTTCTAATGTGGCTGACTTTTTTTATGCTCCCCACTCCAGACAACCTATGTAGTTTCTAACGTGGCTGACTTTTTCGATGTTCCCCACTCCGGACAACCTATGTAGTTTCTAATGTGGCTGACTTTTTCGATGTTCCCCACTCCGGACAACCAATGTAGTTTCTAATGTGGCTGACTTTTTTTATGCTCCCCACTCCATACAACCTATGTAGTTTCTAATGTGGCTGACTTTTTCGATGTTCCCCTCTCCATACAACCTATGTAGTTTCTAATGTGGCTGACTTTTGATGTTCCCCACTCCGGACAATCAATGTAGTTTCTAATGTGGCTGACTTTTTTAATGCTCCCCCCCCTCCCAGACCACGTCCGACTTGGAGGAGCTGGACAAGAAGAGGCGGGGCGAGTTCAAAGAGTACGAGATGGAGAAGGAGTTTGAGAAACAAGAGCACCTGAGAGAGTTGCCGGAGGAGGAGAGGAAGAAGGAGGAACATCGTCTGGAGGAGCTGAAGAAGAAGCACGCGGAACACCCCAAGCTGAACCACCCCGTGAGTGAAAGATATACGACTTCTTTCTGAAGTCACTTTTTTGAGTCTAAGAACTTGATTTAATATGTGAGGCGGGCTGACAAAATGAGTTACTTCTCACAATCGAAGAATGGAGATATCGGCCGAAAATCTACACTGGGGTCAGATTGATAGATTTTCAATTGACGCCATTTTCTTCAAGTCTACCATGTCTATTCCATACTTACAAATTGTACAAACTCCACCTACAAAGTTGATACTTTGATTTCCATAAGGCTAAAATCTGACAAGTAACTCATTTTGTCAGCACACCTCTCATATGTTACTGCTTTCTATTAGTACAAGGGGAACTCCCTTAACTGAACCACCCTGTAGGTAGAACAAAATATACCAGCTTTAGTCTAAGAACAAAATTTGATATATTACTCTTTACTGTTAGTACTCACGGAACACCTCATACAGAACCAGCCTGTATGTACAAGGTATACCATATCACTCCCAAGTCTGAGGACAAAATTTGGTATGTTACTCTTAACTGTCAGTACACACGGAACTGCTCAAACTGAACCTCCCCCCGAGTGCAATAATATCTCTGTTCTGGGCCATCCTTCCAAGCTTGTTCCAAGTGAGCTTCATCTCTCTCTCTCTCTCATGTCCCTTTCCACGCATCTCCTCCATGTTTCCCGTGGCCTACCCCTGCCTGTAAAACTTTTACCGAACTGAAACTTTGTCCACCCACAGGGCAGCCGCGACCAGTTTGAGGAGGTGTGGGACAAAGTGGATCACTTGGAGGACCAGGAGTTTAACCCAAAGACCTTTTTCTTCAAACACGGTACGTCCGTCGTGTCGTTTTGTCACACAAAGTCACAGAGGAAGATCACCTCAGAGATCAGAGATGATAGTTTTGATTGTTTGCCTTTTTTTTAATGTATTGTGTAAATTGATTAAGTGACCTTAGTTTTTTCTTTTTTTGTGTGTGTGTATGTTTGTGTATTATAGATGAAGTGACAGTAGTCTGCCGTTTTGTGTTATACTTTCGTGTAATGACACGCCGGAATCAGGCGTTCATCAAACACGGTATGGTGTGTCCCGCGAGTCACACCAGTAGTTCACCTCTAAGACAAGAAATGATAGTTTGACTTTTTGTGTGTGTATGTATACTATTAAGTGACAGCAGTTTGCCTTTTTGTGTGTGTATATGTTATAGAGTGACTATTGTCTCTTCGGTACTGAGAGCCCCCATTGTGGCTCTTGCATACATACATGTGTGTTCACATACACATTCACACATACACTCACACACGCTCTCTCTCTCCCTCTCTATCTCTCTCTCTCTCTCTCTCTCTCTCTCTCTCTCTCTCTCTCTCTCTCACTCACACACACACACCCACGCACACCCACGCACACATATGCACTCACACAGACGCACGCACACTCACACACACATTCTCCCGCAAATACATAAGTATGTATAGTCTAAATATAGTATAATATTATATAAATATAATAGTATAAATAACATGTATTATTATTCTCTCCTCAGATCTGAACGGTGACATGGAGTGGAGCATTGAGGAAGTGGATGCTGTGCTGCAGATAGAGGTTAGTAAGTGGGTGGTTGGAGGGTGCTCTGGTGTGGTTTGCTCCTTCGTTCCTATCAAACATCTATCGTCCTTATCTCTCCTCCTTCTAGTTTTGTGTTTGTTACTCTCTTGTAACACCTCTAATCTTCGGAATTTATATGACCTAATTGTGTTAAAAGTGCTGGAAAACTCATAACTTAAACTAAACACTCCCTCTCTTTGGCACTAAAATGACGTATTTGTGTTGAAAGGGCCGTAAAATTATTACAAATACTAAAACTAAACACTTCTTATCCCAAGCACTTGAGTGACTTATTTGCAAGTGCGGCAAAACTCCAACTAAAACTTTTTAAATCCCCTCCCCCACCCGCCCACCCCTCTCTGAAACCTCTCACCCTTCTCTGAAACCCTCTCACCCCTCTGAAACCCTCTCCTTTCTCCCCTCTCTTAAACCTTCTCCCCTCACGGAAACCCTCTCACCCCTCTGAAACCTTCTCCCCTCTCTGAAACCCTTTTGCCCCTCTCTGAAGCCCTCTCTCACCCCTCTCACCTCTCACCTCTCACCTCTCTGAAACCCTCTCACCCCTCTCTGAAACCCTCTCACCCCTCTGAAACCCTCTCACCTCTCTGAAACCCTCTCTCCCTCCCCAGCTGGACAAGGTTTACGACGCGCGTAACTCCCCGGACGAGGACGACCCGATGGAGAGACAGGAGGAGATGAACAGGATGCGCGAGCACGTCTTCCAGGAGATGGACAAGGACCACAACCAGAGGATCTCCTTCGAGGAGTTCATCGAGTACACCGGGGCCATGGGGGATAACGAGGAGTTCAAGAAAGACGAGGGCTGGAAGGTATTAGGATAATGATATTAATAATGTGGTTAGGCTACCGGACTCGTAATCGTGAGGTTGCGGGTTCAGGGGTTCGAGCGGCGAGCCCGACGTTGTGTCCCTGGGAAAGGCACTTTACACGAATTTCCCTCACTTCACCCGGGTGGGAATGGGTACCCGGCCATAGACAGCGAAAGATCTTGTCAGTATGTTAGTGTTTGAGCATGTATAAATGGCTGCTTGCACTGTATGCTTCCCAGGAAGTTGAGGTTGTTTCAGAATGCTCTCAGGTCTGCTGGGGTAATAGTATAGATTGTGAAGCGCGTAAAGATTACTGTTGAGCGAGGATTTGCGCTATGCAAATATCTATTATTATTATTATTAATAATAGTAATGATAACGATACTTGTAATTGCAATGAATGTGCCGTAGAGCTCTACAGTATTCCCAATGGGCTTTACGACTATTATTACTCTAGCAGACCGTAGAAAACTGAAAAGCACAGGGACAGTGCAAGTTCAAGAAAGACGAAGGCTGGAAGGTACGATAATAGTAATAATTCACCTTCACTTTCACCTATCCCGTAGACTGGATGTCCGTGGGGGCGCTTTTTGAAGATTTGGCCACCAGCTTCCTCCACTCCTTCCGGTCTTCAGCTTTTCATTTTCTGAGCGTGTCTTTGAGTTCCAGGAATAGTGATAATAATAAATGTAATTGCCAGGAATGTGCTGTAGAGAATGGATGTGCGTTTTATGATAATTATATAGCGCATATCCTCGCTTGACTGCATGCTCTATGAGTTTTACAACCATTACCACCCCAGCAGACCCTAGAATACGACTCAGAAACATGGGGGACACGATAAAGATGAGGGTTGGAAGGTATAATAATAATGATAATAATTGCTACTCTACCGCGCATATCCATGCTCTACAGTATTCCCAATGTGCTTTACTACTATTATTACTCTAGCAGACAATAGAAAACTCTCGTGGCCTAGAGGTTACGGTGTTGGCCTCTCATTCAAAGGTCCTGGGTTCGATTCCGGGTAGCGACCAAAAAATTTTCTTCTCTAAAATTGTCTCCTTTCACCTCCTTTCCTGATCTCTAACAATGTTCTGTTGTCTGCTTTCATTTCCACTTTCTGCCCCCACCCCCTCACCTCCTTTGCCCCCTCCTCTGGGCTCCTGACTCTTTCTGCAGCCTTTCTACTGCTACTCCTTGGCTCCTCCTAACTGCTGTCTTTCTGCCACACCCCTGATCTTCTGGTAGGAAAGATCTACACCTAGCCTTCTCGGACAAGGGCGAAAAATCTCGGAGGGCCGGTGTGCAAGTTGCGCACGTTAAAGATCCCTTGGTGGTCTAAAATCGATAAGAGTAGGCTTCGGCCGCCACCCGGGCAAAATTCAAAATTTCCTACCAACGAAAAAGTATTAGGCGTGTCCCGCGCGCTCATATGACCTTATGCAGTTGGGAGCGCCGTAAAACCCTATACTAAACAAACAAACAAACAGAAAACTCAAAAGCACCGGGACAATGAAAAGTTAAAGAAAGACGAGGGTTGGAAGGTCTGGGATATTAATGGGTTTTTTCAATCTTTTTAAAAATAATAACTTTCGTTGTTGTTGTATTTTGTGTTGATAAATAATACACATATATATGCATGCTTTTGGAAGGGGGGTTGGGATTGTGTTTGATGCTCTCTCTTTCTCTCTCCCCTCTCTTTCTCCCTCTTCCCTTCTCTCCTATCTCTCTCCAGCAATGTGGGTGGTTTGTGGATGGGGCGGTGTGGTTTGCTCCTTCTATCCTATCAAATATCTATCGTCCTTATCTCTGCTCCCCCCTTTTTTTAAATTATTTACTCTCTTGTAACACTTCTTGTAACACTTCTTCTAACCTTCAGCACCTATATGATCTTTTTGTGTTGCAAGTGCCGTAAAACTCATACTAAAACTAAACTTAAAACTTTCTACAGCAATATTTATCTCATTGTGTCTCACCCCCTTCCTCTTTCTCTCTCTCCGTGGGTGGTTCGCGGGTGCTCTGGTGTGGTTTGGTTCTTCTTTCTTTTCAAACGACTATCGTCTTTATCTCCCCTCCTTCTTTTTTGTGTTTGTTACTCTCTTGTAACACCTTTAATCTTCGGCACTTATATGACCTTATTGTGTTGCAAGTGCCGTAAAACTCATACTAAAACTAAACTTAAAACCTTCTTCAGCAATTAAATCTCATTGTGTCTATTGTGTCTAACCCCCTTTCTCTTTCTCTCTCTCTCTCTCCTCACTCACCGACTCACTCTCTCTCCCTCTCTCTCTCTCTCTCTCTCTCTCTCTCTCTCTCTCTCTCTCTCTCTCTCTCTCTCTCTCTCTCCTTACTCACCCACTCACTCTCTCCCTCTCTCTCTCTCTCTCCCTGTGAACAGACAGTCGATGAGGAACCAGTGTTCACAGACGAGGACTACATGCAGTACATACAGGAACACCACGCTCAGCCTGGAGTCGTCAATGTGAGTTCTTGCCCGTGGTCTACGCCAAAAGCTGTTGGATCATTGTAGTTGTTGTCATTCTTTGTTGTTGTTTGTGTTGTTGTTGATTGTCAAGAACGAGGAAGAAGAAGAATAAGTTGTTGTTTGTCATTCTTTGTTGTTGCTTGTGCTGTTGTTGTTGTTTGTCATTCTTTGTTGTTGTTTTTGTTGTTGTTGTTTGTTATTCTTTGTAGTTGTTTGTGTTGTTGTTGTTTGTCATTCTTTGTTGTTGTTTGTCATTCTTTGTTGTTGTTTATGTTGCTGTTGTTTGTCATTCTTTGGTGTTACCGCCATTGTTGTTATTTGTCATTCTTTAGTATTGTTGTGTGTGTCATTCTTTGTTGGTGTTATTTTTAAAACCCTTTCCCTCCCCC